GATTAGGAAACCTTTTGAAAATATCCTCCATGTCTTCTGAACCGGGAAGGTAGAGATTATGTAATGTTGTCAAATTTTCTAACCTTAAATCCTCATTTAACACAGTGATGACCGGATCAAACACAGCATCCAAATTCATCTGCACAACTCGTAGCATTGCGAGACTGAAAAAACAAGGTGATAGCATCATGCATGACAGATCCCCGTTATTCACCATGAGAGTTTCTAGATTGCAGAGATTTGAAAATGACGGAGGGAGAACTTTTGCCTTCATCATAATTTTTAAGTACTTCAAATGAACGAGCATACCGATTTCATTCAGCAAAGAATCTGGCAATTTTATGCCGCACAAATCCAAATTTTTGAGAAGCCTCAAGTGTTTTAGGCTACTTTTTCTGTGAAGAGTTACATCATCGACCTTCAGAGAGAGGAGGTGTTTAACATAAGGATTCTTCATTTCTGGATCAAATGGAGCAAAACATTCATCGAAATCAAAGAGATCTGTATCACCACGAATGATAACTCCACGTGGCATAAGATCCAAAGAAGAAGAGGAATACGGAGGTTTTGAACTTCCTATGAAGTGAAACAACTTTTCCTTTCTAGATTTTATATAACAAAAGTCATGCACAAGATCATGAATTTTGAAAATAGAATCATCGAAAGGTATCACCAAACTACTTGAAATTAACTCATCCACTACTTCTTCTGCACTTCTCATCTCAAGTCCTTGAGAAATCCACAAATCTTTCAACTCAGACATCCTTATATCTTTGTCCTTTGGATAAGTTGCAAGATAAACCAAACACGGCTTCACGTGATCTGACAAATGGTCATAACTTAATTGTATAACCTTCAACACTTTCTCTTCATCCTTAAAAATAGAGGAACTCAAATCATTCAGAACCTCAGCCCACAAAGCCTCTTTCTTTTCCTTCCTTGAAATGACTCCACCGATTAGATCAACTACTAAAGGAAGACCATCACACTTTCGAGCTATCCTTTTTTCGACATCCTCTAGTTCATCTGGGCAACGTCCTTCTCCGAATACCTTTTTCTCTGATAACTCCCAACTTTCTTCTGATCTTAGCAATCGAAGATAAAGAGGATCAGTGTGGCATTTTCCATGCAAAGCAACTTCCTTTTTCCGACTTGTTAAAATCACTCTGCTTCCTTTATGAAATTCAGGAAAAGGTCTCATTAGTTCATCCAATGTCGCAGTATCCCACATGTCATCCAAGACAATAAGGTACCTTTGTCCACATAGTCGTCTCCGCAGCTTATCAGCAACGTCATCATCTATGTCATTCTCACTGGATCTTTCTTCCAAACCTTTAACTTGATTGAAAATTTTCTGCAACAACTTTTTCTCATTACGTTCCTGGTCGACTGTGCACCAAGCACAAACATCGTAATGATCAACAATGGACTTATGATTATACAATCTGTAAGCCAAAGTAGTTTTTCCAATCCCTGGCATGCCGACTATGGAAATGACATCTAACTCAGCTGGTCCACTGGTGAGCTTCCTAATTATCCACTCTGTCTCCTCCTCATAACCTACGATTATTTTACCAACTGTACTCGATGAGTTTCTTTCAACCGGATTTTTGGGAGCATTTGCAACAATAATGCTGCTGCTCTTGGGGAGCTTCTCTTGCACCTCTTTTTTGACAAGCTTGATCTTTTCTACGGTATCAGGAAGCATGAAGAAAAGCTGAACTAGACCATTATCTCGGGCAAGAATTGAGTTAAAGACATGTTCCGCCTCATGTGCCACATCTAAAACACGAGTCCAAAGATCTTTATGCAACTCTTGCTCAGCATAAGCGAACAACGATCTTATGATTTCCAGGTCTTGTTTCACCTGCTTAATTTCTTCTTTTATCAAAGAAACTGAATAAGCATTGGAATAGGCCAAGTCTTTTAAGTTTGTGAGCAGAAGAGTCATGAAGAGCGGACCATCACTCATGGGGAAGGGGAGCTGAGACGAGTCTGCACGAGCTTTTAAGAAATCATTCTTGAGATCAACCTTCAGGAGTTCAATGTTTTCCAGCAAGTTTAGATTTGAACCACTTGCTTCATTCATGTTCTCTTCTAAGTTACGGAAAAAAACAAATACCTCCTTGGTAAGTTGTATAACACGTGCCAAGAGAACAAACAATTTGTCATGACGAATAACGGCCTTGAGCCCATCAGTAAGAATAATCAATAGGAACTCTATCATGACATGAATGTTACATGTTGAAGCTCTAGGAGTAAGAGCATTAATCACCATGTGCTCTTGTAGATGAAGCAGAGATTCTCTAAGAATGTCCGGAGAGGCTTCTAGGAGGTGCTTGATGAAAAATCCAACTTCTTCCGACTTTGAAGCTTTCAAATTTGTACAACATAGGTGCATAGCATCCAGTGAAACCGGAATTATCTTCAAAAGTAGATGGACCAGCATGGAATTGACTTCATCTGTTTTATCAATATGATAAGACAAAAGTACAAAACAGAAGTGTCCAACTCTCTCCGCCATAAGTTGAAACTGCGGTAAGACATATTCGATTGTCTCAAACTCATGAACACAACCATTTACTTTCAACCTATGGAAATCTCGTAAATTTCCAAACACATTCTTAAGAAGCTCATATTGAGTAATTGAAGGGGAAATCAACTCAGCACGAACCTTGGGTAGGTTATGGAGATTCACGAGGAGCACGTCCAAAAGTTCATCCAACTGATCCTCATTCATGGCAGCAGAATGATGATGATCTGAGATTTTAAAACTTGTGATGTTTTCAAGGAGGCAAGGAACGACATGATCCGTTAATTTAACCATCATGTCATCTCCACTACTCTGATGAAAAAGTGATTGAACCAGATCATGAACCTCATATGATATGCAGGACATTTCAGCATCGGAAATGTAATAACATAGCTGTAAACATGCCAACAAAAATTTCAGCTCTTCAACTTGATCTTGTTCATTCTTTAACCCTTGTATGAAATCCTTAAGATCGACAATGTCCTCGCGAAGTAGAGCAGATGATACCTGCTAATAGACCAAATGTATATCAAATGATGATCTATTCACTCAGCAATATAATATCTATCAAAATCTTCAGTGCCACAAATTTGCCATGATAAAATTCACTCTAATTTAAAAGGCAACTAACGTAAAACGTAGAGGGCACATAAGCTAAGTGTTTGTCCTGTACTTAACTTAAACATAAAGACAACAACATACCTAGCGTAATCCCAAAAATTGGTGTGTACGCAAAGATATTGTTTCAAATAAAACATACTAGTAAGCAACAACCACATACAGATATGAAACACAGGATGGATCTAAGATTACAAGTTTCAAAAGTCTTTTTACTCTGGATGTAATCAAAGCAAGGCGGGAATAAAAAATAATGATAGCAGAATAGCAAGATAAACAAAATAAATAATCATCCAAGTCAATACAACAACAACATAACAACATATAGTCCCACAAAGTCGGATCTAGAGCATATACAAACCTTACCCCCCTACCTTAAAGGTACATAAACTGTTTCTCATCGATCCTCGGCTTAAGAAAAACAATCCCAAAAAGGAAGTAGTAATGAAGATACAAGAAACAACAATAACAAAATTAGCAGATAGTAATTGAACAAAAACTACAACAAAACAATATACTAATCGAGGTACTAGAAACTAACATACCAATGAGTTGCTTCCTAATCTCTCTATTTCTCCTTCATTTTCTTTTCCTATATCCATGTTTGCAATTCTCAAAATCTGAAAAATTACTCTGCTAATTAACACCAAAAATGTCTAGAAAATTTTAATTTGTAAAGAAGAAAGTATGAACACCCAATATTCTTCAATAATGATACCTTGAAGTTGACAAAATCAGTTGAAATAATTACTTGGACAAAGCCCAAAGACAAACTTGAAAGGCCCAAGAAGATTTAAAAAATTACTCTAGTCTTTGTTAATTAATTGTCAAATCTTCGAGTCTTTGTAATCACTTGTGAAAAATATAATATTTTGCATTCCACTTGTTTTGAGATTACCTATAAATTTATTTATTTTTTTGGTTTGTGAACTTCCCTATCTGATTCCAATTGGATGTTCATTTGCGGTAGGAAAAGAAAATATTATTCTAAAAATAATTGTATAAGCTGTCTCAACTCATCCTCCTTATGTATCTCAGACATTTGATGCTTAATGCATGACATATAATTTTTAAAGGTGTTTAGATGATCATTTTGTAAGTTAATGTCATGTCAAAAATCTATATTAAACACTTTACGTAATAGAGTATTCGTGTGTAAATGACTTTACATGCCATAATAGGGGTATTTTGTGTCTTTTCACCTTGATTAAACAATATAAGATGATAGTGTGTAACTTTTGACCATGAGACTAAAAAGAAAATATAAAAATATGACTTTAGTCTAAAGTACGTAGTCTTGTGAATTGTTTTTTTATATTGTCCAATTCTCAAGGTCTAATTATTTCTTCTTTCTACTACCAATAATACTCCAATTCTTAATTCCTTTAAGCACTTCTCATACACATTTTTCTTTTTTGAAATATATCAATTTTTTATAATATTTGATTGGTCAATTTTTTTTTCTTTAGAAAACTGAGTTTTTGATTGATAAAAATAAGGAAAATGATTTTTTTAATGAAAGCAGGAGAAACAATAGTTCTGCAAGTGATATTTTAAATCACCGCTTATTTTGAAACGAAGAGAGTAACACCTCACTGCTCAGACCAAATAGGAATCATAAAATTGCATGTTTTGACTTTTAAATGGGCTGTTAAAGGTTAAAATATAAGTTTTTTAGCAACATAAATTATATCTCGATATATTTATAAAGTATTATGATACGAAAATATATACTTATCCTCCTTAAAAAAAAATATTCAAAAGTGCAAATGACCCAATAGGAACCCCACTTAGTGAGACATTATTAGTGGGCTTACTTTAACAACTCTCTATTGAAAAAGAAAAGATTGTTTGATGTAATTAAATTGTTTCTCTTGAGAAGTTGAAAGGAAAGATTTTTTTTCTTTTTAATTTACTTTGGCTTGATTAGTGAGAATGGGAAGAGGAAAAGAAAACGAAGGACAAACAAAAGGGGTATGTTGCATATAATTTTTAATTTATTTTTCATTCACATAATTAATATATTCTTGTAAGTATGTTTGTTGCTTTAATTTATGTAACTTAGATGGTGAATATAAATCACAAAAATATAGCAAGGCAAAATGAATGTAAGGGTGGTTCATGAGAATTAACCTGAGGTGTTAGGTCCAAAACTCAACGGAGACAATAAAATACTAGGTGAGTTTTTCCATTTTTCCTAGCCTTGGTGGCCACAGTTGTTTGGTATGTGTTGTTGGTGGGAGATGACAGGTATCCCGTGAAACTTGTCGAGGTGCGTGTAAGTTGGCCTAGACTCCGTGATCATAAAAAATAAATGAATATAATTAAACTCTGTATTAGATCTTGAGTACCGTGCCTTGGCGGCCTAAGTAGAACGTGTTCAGAATTGCAAACTGGGAAATAAAGAGCTTTTGTTTAAAGAGATAGCGCGTAAACAATGAGAGAGCTTAGTGCATCAGACAGTCTTTTTTTACTTTAAGACTTGAGGCATAACAGATCAAACATTTAGCTTAACTATTGGTGCATTTGTGATAGTTGCCTGTTCATGTAATGTAAAATTAAAATTTAGAGTTAATAATCAATAGTATACCTGAACTATCACGTTTTCGCGAGTTTCACACCTCAATGATCAGTTGTTCCCTCCCTTTATGTATCAACATAATTTGAAACAACATTGGTGTTTTGGCAGGTGTCATCTGTTGTACTTTGCGAGGACATAGTTAATCTTCTAGATTTCATAGAGAGGTTAAATAATGGGCGTATTCAAACTTCTCTTAACACACATAAAATTGAAAATTTGACATTGGAGCTGACATTTGTGTCCGCATTTTGTCATCTTTACTACTCATTGTTTTTGGCAAGTAGTAATGACGAAATGTCCTGCATATCAAATGAGATTCATGATTTGGTTCAGTCACTGTTTCATCCAAGTGGAGAAGACATGCTGGTGAATATAATGTATCATGATGTTCCTCGCCTCTTGGAGAATATCATAAGTTATATTAGCTCACATAGCTATGCTGAACCAACCATGACCGAGGATCGTTTGGTTGAACTTTTAGATGCCATCCTCATATATCTCCAATGTCTAAGGTGTTGTTCTGACTTGATTTTCCCATCAATGACTCATTATGAGCTTCTTCAGAATGTGTTTGGCAATTTAAGAGATTTTCATAGGTTGAAAGTAAATGGTTGCTTTAAGTATGACACAATTGAATATGTCTTACCTCATCTTCAACTTATGGCTCTGAGAATAGTAAACTTCTGTTTTACTTTTTTGGGTGATTGTACACTTCACGATTTCGATAAATCAGAAGTCACTCGACTTAACTCCAAGCTAGCAGCTAATCTACTTGTGGATGTTATTCCTGTTGAACTAGAGGTTATGCACATATGTTTTACAAATTTGAAAGGTTCAAACTCGGAAGAAGTTGTACGTTCCATCAAGCAGCTCCTAGAAGCCTCTCCGGACATTCTTAGAGAATCTTTGATTTATCTACAAGAGCACATGATTATTAATGCTGTTACTCCTAGCGCTTCTACGTGTAACATTCATGTCATGATAGAGTTCCTATTGATTATTCTTACTGATGAGCTCAAAGACGTTATTCGTCATGACAAACTATTTGTTCTGTTGGCACGTCTTAGAGAACTTACCAAGGAGTTATTCATTCTATTTCGCAACTTAGAAGAGAATATGAATGAAGCAAGTGGTTCAAATCTAAACATGCTGGAAAATATTGAACTCCTGAAGGAAAATCTCAAGAATGTTTTCTTGAAAGCCCGTGCAGACTCGCCTCAGCTCCGCTTCCCCATGAGTGATGGACCGCTCTTCATGACTCTTCTACTCACAAACTTAGGAGACTTGGTCAAATCCAATGCTTCTTCAGTTTCCTTGATTAAAGAAGAAATTAAGCAGGTGAAAGAAGACCTGGAAATCATAAGATCGTTGTTTGGGTATGTTGAGCAAGAGTTGCATAGAGATCTTTGGACTTGTGTTCTAGACACAGCTTATGAGGCGGAACATGCCTTTAACTCAATTCTTGCCCGAGATCATGGTCTATTGCAGCTTATCTTAATACTTCCTGATACCATAGAAAAGATCAAACTTGTCAAAAAAGAGGTGCAAGAGAAGATCCCCAAGAGAATTGTTGCAAATGCTCCCAACAAGCCGGTTGAAAGAAACTCATCGAGTACAGTTGGTAAAATAATTGTAGGTTTTGAGGAGGAGACAGAGTGGATAATTAGGAAGCTCACCAGCGGACCAGCTGAGATAGATGTCATTTCCATAGTTGGCATGCCAGGGATTGGAAAAACTACTTTGGCTTACAGAGTGTATAATCATAAGGCCATTGTTGATCATTTCGACGTTTGTGCTTGGTGCACAGTCGACCAGGAACGTAATGAGAAAAAGTTGTTGCAGAAAATTTTCAATCAAGTTATTGGTTTGAAAGAAAGATTCAGTGAGAAGGACATAGATGATGGCGTTGCTGATAAGCTGTGGAAACAGCTCTGTGGAAAGCGGTACCTTATTGTCATGGATGACATGTGGGATACTGAGACATTGGATGAGCTAATGAGACCTTTACCTGAATTTCATAAAGGAAGCAGAGTGATTTTAACAAGTCGGAAAAAGGAAGTTGCTTTGCATGGAAAATGCCACAGTGATCCTCTTTATCTTCGATTGCTAAGATCAGAAGAAAGTCGGGAGTTATTAAAGAAAAGGGTATTCGGGGAAGAAGGCTGCCCTGATGAACTAATGGATGTTGGGAAAAGGATAGCTAAAAAGTGTGGTGGTCTTCCTTTAGTACTTGACCTAATCGGTGGAGTCCTTTCTAGGAAGGAAAAGAAAGAGACTTTGTGGCTTGAAGTTCTCCATAGTTTGAGTTCCTCTATTTTTAAGGATGAAGAGGAAGTGGTGAAGGCTATACAATTAAGTTATTACCATTTGTCAGATGACGTAAAGCCGTGTTTGGTTTGCCTTGCAACTTATCCAAAGGACGAAGATATAAGGATGTCTGAGTTGGAAGATTTGTTGATTTTTCAAGGACTTGAGATGAAAAGTGCAGAAGAAGTAGTGGATGAGTTAATTTCGTGTAGTTTGGTAATACCTTTCGATGATTCTATTATCAAAATTCATGATCTTGTGCATGACTTTTGTGATATAAAATGTAGAAAGGAAAAGTTGTTTCACTTCATAGGACGTTCAAAAGCTCCGTCTTCTTCGGATCTTATGCCACGTGGAATTATCTTTTATTATACAGATGTATATTCTTTGGATGAGTATCGCCCGGTGTTTGATCCAGAACAGAAGATTCCGTCTGTTAAACACCTCCTCTCTCTGAAGGACTTTGGCGTGACCAGTCTTTGTTTTTCCTACGAGAATCACCTAAAACACTTGAGGCTTCTCAAAAGTTTGGATTTGGGCAGCGTAACATTGCCAGATTCTTTGCTGAATGAAATCGGTATGCTCGTTCATTTGAAGTACTTAAAAATTGAGATGAAGACAAACGTTCTCCCTCCGTCATTTTCAAACCTCTGCAATCTAGAAACTCTGGTGGTGTATAACGACATTTGCATAATACTATCGCCTTGTTTTTGGAGTCTCGCAAAGCTACGAGTTGTGCAGATGACTTGGGGTGCCGTGTTTGATCCGGTCATCACTGTGTTAGATGAGGATTTAAGGTTAGAAAATTTGACAACATTACATAATCTCTACCTTCTTGGTTCAGAAGACACGGAGGATATTTTCAAAAGGTTTCCTAATCTTAAAAACCTTCAAGTCCTTATCAAAAAACAAATACCAGAGAAGATATGTTTTCCAAGATTGGATGTCCTCAATTTATCTGCTTTTCCTCAGAATTCATTACCTGAATATACACATGACTTCCCTTTGAGCTTGAAGAAGCTGAAGTTGGAATGGTTCACTGTGACATCCGATATACTTTCAAGTATTGCTAGACTACCCAACCTTGAAGAACTAACTCTACAATACACAATCATCGAGGAGGACAAAGAATGGAACATGGAAGATCATGTCGTTTTCCAGAATCTCAAATCTCTAAAATTGTCTCGTCTGATATTTTCTAAATGGAACATGGATGATCATGTCATTTTCCAAGATCTCAAATCTCTAGAATTGGTAGATTTGTCATTTTCAGAATGGAAGGTTGATGCAGAGAAATCCTTTCCCGTGCTCGAGAAACTATTAATATGTACATGTGATAAGCTTATCGAGATCCCAGACAGTTTTGGAGATATTGCGTCATTAAAGTTTATCAATGTACGGTTAAGCCCTCAGCTTAAAGAGTCGTTGTTCAAAATTAAGGAATATGTTGAAGAAATGACCGGAGAAGACAAGCTTCACGTAGAATTCAACGATCCGGGGCCTTAATAATGTGAGTATGAATACGAATTTTAGAAATGTTATGTTATGTTTTTCCAATATTACACAATATATATGATCAGATGATATATGTACGTATGCATTCCTTCTTCCAAACATATTCCTTAATTAAGTTATTGTATGTGTGCTTATTTTTTGTTATAACGGAAGAGATATTGTGTGTGTTCTTTATTATAACGGATGAGATATTGTATGCTTGTCCATCTGATGTATTATTAGATTGCTACTTTCAGTTACAATAAAACATGAAACAAGTCTGACTTTGAAATTGCCTGATCGTCTCTCCTGTGTCAATTGAACACTCTAACTTACAAATTTTGATCATCTAGACACCTTCCATACGTACTATATGTGTCATGTTTGTGTCAGGTGTTCACGAGACATAGTGATCATGACGAGATGTAAAAGTAAGTAGAATAGGGTGTTTTAACTTGTAAATGAATGAAAAGAGAACATATAACTACACATGAATTTCAATTAGTATCACAAAGTTATAATGACAAACTTATAATTAATTAATGATTTAAGACTATTATTCGTCGCCCCTACACATGACTAATAATATTTTTTCAAAGAAGTGTAAGTTCTAGATAGGGTAACTGAAGAACCAAAAATCAAAATCATAACAATAAACATAATTTCCAAATAGGACGGCTTCTTGATCTTGAGAATTGGACAATATAAAAAAACAATTCACAAGACTACGTACTTTAGTGATATAAAATGGAAGGTTGATGCAGAGAAATCCTTTCCCGTGCTCGAGAAACTATTTATAGATTCATGTCATAAGCTTATGGAAATCCCAGACAGTTTTGGAGATATTGCGTCATTAAAGTTTATCACTGTACAGTTCAGCCCTCAGCTTAAAGAGTCGTTGTTCAAAATTAAGGAATATGTTGAAGAAATAAACGGAGTAGACAAGCTTCACGTACAATTCTACGATTGGGGGTCTTAATAATGTGAGTATGAATACGAATTTTAGAAATGTCATGTTATGTTTTTTCCAATATTACACAATATATATTCTTTTGCAGAGATCAGATGATATATGTATGTAATTATGTATGTATGTATGCCTTCTTCCAAACATATTCCTTAATTAAGTTATTGTATGTGTGCTTATTTCACGTGTTCACGAGACATAGTGATCATGACGAGATGTAAAAGGAAGTAGAATAGGGTGTTTTAACTTGTAAATGAATGAAAAGGGATCATATAACTAGACATGAATTTCAATTAGTATCACAAAGTTACAATGACAAACTTATAATTAATTAATGATTCAGGACTATTATTCGTCACCCCTACACATTACATATCCAAAGAATGGAACGGTTAACGCAACAGTGACCGTGCTGATGACTAAAATT